CCTGTTAACAATGCTAGATTTAGCCAAAATAAGTATTGATTTTATGCAACAGAGTCAAGAAGCATCTAAGTCTTAGGGCCCTTTCACATGAGGCCACTGGTGGCCGCCACCGGTGGCCGCCACTGGTTGCCGCCACTGGTTGCCCGCCACAGCTTTAACATTATTTTAAATGGGACCTTTCACACACAGCCACTGTAGTTGCCCGCCACTACACAGTGGCCGAGCAGTGTCTTCTCGCGCAACTGCTAGTCGGCCACCGCCGGCAACTGCAGTGGCGGCAACTCGTCGCGGGGCATTGAATTATATGGGAGCTTTCACACGTAGCAACCAGTGGCCGCCACCGTGGATGAGCACGCAGCTACTATTTTGAATCAGTTCCTGTGCAGACTGCAAAGACAAACGCACTATGGTTGTAGTTGTTGAATGTTTTCATGTTGAATTGTTTGTTTGTGAAAATGAGTGATCAGAAGAAAAATAAAGAGGACGTTGCTGAAAAAGAAAAAGACAAAGGAAAACAACAGAAGAAGAGAATAAACAAAATAATAGAAAACAAAGTGGATACTGATGATCTAATTTGCGAAATTGAAAAGTAATCGGCTATTCGGTATAGTACGCCTGTGTCTTTGCCTTATTTTCTTTATTATCAACGCGAGAAGAAGGAGATGTTCATTGTTCGACAGCATTTTCACAACTAACAGTACAGTGGCTGTAGTAGAGTGGCTTGTAAGTTGCCTGTACCATCCACTGCAGTTTCCCGGCCGGTAACTGGTGGCGGACACCGGTGTCCGCCACCAGTGGCCTCGTGTGAAAGGGCCCTTACACTTAGTTTTACACTCTTACTACCTACAATGTGTAGGTTGACTAAACATTTGCACAATCATTAACTTACATCTTTTGATGAAATTTGGTAAAAACGTGTAAATCTACATTTTTTGGGACGAGTTTAGGAACCAGCATGATTGGACTATGGGAATGGGGGTTTATGGGGTTTTATGAGGTAAAAATTGTTTATTTTTTTATTTTTGACCCTAAAACATAAAATTTTGCAACTTCTTTATGAAACATTTTGTAGAGCTAAAAAACCCCCAAATAATTTAGTAAATTGAAGCGTTGTTATGCGTCTAATAGTTAGGGAGAAAATTCTAAAAACTGTATATTCTTTTGATTGTGATTTGATTTTGATTGCGGTAAAATTCCTAGCCTATGTTAGCCTATTCTTAAATGGAAAATAAGTAAACTATTGTAGTTTGCTTGTTTATGAACATATCTTGATCAAGTTTGGGAAATGAATTTTATTTCATACTAAACTATTAACATTTTACATAAATCACTTTTTTACCCTCCCTGTTGCAGCAAACCTAAGTACTTGTTTAGATAATGATATTTAAATATGAAATAATATAAATGTGATATTTTTAAGGAGATATTTTAGAGTAAACTCAATCAGGCAAATGGAAATTCGCTTATTCGGCAGGTCTGCTGTGGTGGGGGTATTTTACCATAAAATAGGAATGGATTGCGTCATAACAAAAGAAAAAACTATATTCATAGGCCTATTTATTGGCCATTGTAATGACCCTCTGGCAGGAGGAATATGACAGTGTCTGGTTTATTTTACACAAAAAAAAAACAAAGAGATCCGCTACTTTGTAGTACGGTCTTTTCATCATCCAGTCTTTGAATTTCCAGTGGTCCAGACATCCAATGCTGAAAGGGAGTCTGTTGAGAGATTCTTGATGGTTCTGCTTAATCTTGCTCAGGTTACATGAAGATTCTATGGTACCGGTAGGTCTATTATGGGCACGGATGGAGGGAAAGTATACACAAACAAAATAAAAATACTCGCTGTTCTAAAGATAAAATACCTACAATTTGCGGAACTGTAGGCCTACCCCACGGGTACTCTTCCGTATCTCTTGGCACAAACAAACGAATGAAAATATTGATTGTTTGATTGTTTCATTCGATATACGTATCGTTTGGTTAACCTTACCTAACTAACCAAACAATATATCGAATAATCGGTATATCGATCAATATTTTTCATTCAGTTGTTTGTGCTAACAGATACGGAAGTCTACCCTACCACACAAATCTACAGCATCTGAGTGTGAAAGACTATCTCTGAAGATTAAGATAGCCCTATATGTCCTAATTTAAGAAGAGACAGGCTAGCAGTTATAGGCTAGGAGTGTTGAAATGAAACCATAGCTAACTCTCAATTTAACCTGACAAGGCCCTAAAACCAAAAGTATTAAGGTAGCCTATTGACTGAAGCAATTGCATTACCTAATAATTTAATTACTTACCTCTTTTTGTCTTGGTTCCTGGGGATAAACGTCCGGTGGTCCCAATCTTGGGCGTTTTAAATAACGTTTTTCATACGAAAACCCCATCATTCTGAATGGCTAGCTGTTATGCTTGATTCAAAGTAAATTAGATTAGATAAAGGTTAGATTAGATTCCTTATCCTAGGTACTCTGTATACCTAACATTTTGCCCTCCTATCATGTTATTTTAAAGAAAACGACCACATTTTAACTATTATCATAAAACAAATTAGTTTCCGCTTAATCAATTCATTTTCATAAAAATCAAATATTTAAGCAACCAATTGCAGAATACAATTTACAAAAATAAAATATAAATAATATGTTTTATAGTTTTCAGATTCTGATTCTGACAACCAACCATGACGGCAAAAAAAACAAGCAGACCGAAGAAAGAAAAACATTTTCATTTACCAGACTGAGACTAAAGTTCCCATTTTACCATCCCGTCAATTGTAAAAGTCCCTGCGTTTCCCTCTAACTTACCTGAAAGTGAAAGTTGCACGATAGCATAGATTAAAACTTTGACTGTTGATACTTAAACATAATACCATAGATTAAACATACTCCTAGTTTAATCTATGATAATACCCTTTAAAATATGTTCGTGTGTTAAATGGTTACACTTGTAACAGAATAAAAATTATTGCTTAACACCTAAATTTACAAAACCTACTAAGCAAGATCTTTTTCACCAGGTATTTAAATCTTAGCCCTATAAAATATCAATAATCCAAAACCGTTTATTGTCCATCCCGCCATGAATACCACTTTGTTTGAATAACAAAATAACTTAAATAGTGTAAAAAATTACGTGTTCTTGATCTAGTAACATCTCTAATTGATTGTTTTTTTGGTAAAACTTTTTTTTTACAGAATCATTTATTTCTGGTTCAATGTAGACATTATACACAGAAGTGTTAGCAAAATTAATAAGAAATTAACTATAATAACATCGTGGGTTCGCCCAAACCTGAGTCACCCTGTAACATAGGCTAATTAATTTAGAGAATAATTTAATCTTCTTTAGGCTTCATTCCTCCAATAGATCTTGAGGGAGCCTTCGACGTAGCCTCCTGTTCTCAGTTGCTTCACCAAGATGAAAAGTTAATGCACCAGGAACATAGTTTAAAGATTTTAGAAAATTTGAGGTGGTTTTTTCAATAAAGGCCGAGATAGACTCCACTCCTATAATATATAGTATATATAGTTCTTCATGTATATGCATGTTTCTAACAAACGTGTTCTTGATCTAGTAACATCTCTCATTGATTGTTTATTGGTAAAACTAAAACTGGATAATAGAAACTAGTGTACATGTTGCTCGAATTCGAGCAATTGCAAAGTATTACAGGAGTTATTTCAAAACGAATAACAGTCATATTAACAATGAGTTTAAAAGAGTCAACTCAAAGATTACCGGTGTGTAACTCAGACCATGTTTATCTACGTTATTGATGAACCTAAAGAATTCCGGCCGGTTTTCTCCTTCTCAAAATACCTCGCTGTACAGTGCAGTACATGCAACAGGTCATTGATAGAGGGCCAATTGAGAACGAAAAGTCGTTTTGGGTTAGTGTTAGGGCGCATTTGTATCAATAGTTGAGATAGTCCAGGGTCAGGTGCTGACTCTGTGATGAGTTATGCCTATTACGCGCCACTGTTTTGTAGCTGCGGTAGTTATCACGATTACGTCTCCTGTCTATGTTTCGTTGTCGTCGCGTCGGAGGCATTTAAAAGAAAAAAAACAACATAAATAAACAAATTATAGCTACACAAAACAACGATAAATGCACAAATTTAAGTTACAATCATGCTAACACGATCCGTCATAGCGACACAAAACAACGATAAATACACAAATTTAGGATACAACCATACTAACACGATCCGTCTTGGGGGTTATGTTTACACAAACTCAAATAGTAAATAAATGTACTCAATGTGTTTCATTGAATTGAAAAATAAATAACAGCAATTAAATTATACAGCTGATCAAAATGTAAACAATTATGTTCTCCAAAAGGATAACATGGGAACTTTCAAAGCCACTGGGGCAGAGCCCAAGGGACGTTTTCAAAAATGTAAGGCCAGTTTGCAAATCTACGCGACACGCTCTTTCCAATGAGACGTCAATGGATAAAATCGGTTAAGAAATGGCGGAGGAGTTCAACCGACAAAGTTTCATGTAGCGTATTAATTATATAGATAAACTTGTTGTGAAAATGTCATGTTGTAAAGGTAATTAGGCACATTTTTGTATGAATAAATCATACTGTGAAATTGGACATTATGTTGTAATCAATTTCGTAAAAAGTTTGTATTGGTGTATCGGCGTTTGTAAAATACAAAATCTAGTAAAATAGTTCAAAGTACTAAAATACTTATCTAAAAGATATAAGTTCTAAAAGTTATTTTTTTATTTTTATTTTTAGTTAAAGAATAACTAACTCCTGCTACGCTAATCACTCATAAAATTCATAGAGAAAGCAAATTGTTGTTATATTTGTGTTACAGTACAGTACTGATATTTTTCTTTGGGGAAATTTTTATGGCACTGGCCAGCCTAGGTAAAATTTACGTTACAGTTTATAATATCACACACAAATCGAGATACTTGTTGGCTAACCTGTTCTTTGCCCAGCGGCGACCCGCAAGCTGAAGCTGAAGCTACCGTCATATTATTGCGTTCTGCTGTTGACAGCCTGTTTGTTGTGTGTCGAAGTCGAATGTCGATGTTTGCTTCTTCCGCAAATTGCTGTTTGGTTCGATTGATGTCAAAACAAGTTAATGGAATAAAGTAGATATTTGAACGCCTCAAGTTCAAAATTACAATGCCAAGAGTCAAAGCTTCGCCGAAAAAATGTGTGAAACCCACTAACCCACAATCTTCCAACAATTGGGTGTTTCTACTTAAAGGTAAATGGAAAAAATATTCAGTTTTTACTTTAAGATAATGTTCGTTGTTTTTGGCTTAAAACATTTCTGTTTTGGTCTATGCTGTAAATTGTTTAAAATAATTTAAATTTTATCCACTTACTGTCTTCTAAAAGAGTTATGTTATCAAAATCCTTAGCTTTCCTTTTAGGGAACCCTGAATTAAAGAACAATGGTTGGCCATTGTAAAATTTTCCCCAACCATTAGTAGCAATACATCCTATGCTATATTTGTGTAACCTACTTGAATTCTGCATCTTTGCCAGATCTAGTCTGATAGATTGTGTCATAATTTATAAGAAAATAAATACAATATTTACAAAAACCATAGGCTAGGCCTACTTTTAAAAAACTTGCCATTTTAACGGATGGCATGGCGGACATACACTATCTCACGAGGGGCTCAACCTCAAGTTCTTTTAGGGAGTACAGCGGCCTATTTACTAATGTCCCTTTCAGTGCCTTCTTGAAGGACGGCGCATCCATTGCCCACATCCGGGTAGGCAGAGTATTATAAATTTTAATAGCTGAACGAGGATTGGTAGCTACTCGAGGTACATCTGAGATCAATGGGGAAAGTCCATATTTTAGGCCTTCCTGGTATAACTTATAGTAGGTACTCATGCACCTCCTCTCTCACTAGTGTGAGCCCTTAAAAATTAAACATTAAAATGAATAATGTATGAATACATAAATGATTTTATCTCCATCAAAACATTACAAAGTAAGTAGGCTATCTAATTATCCTTTAGTAGGGTCAGGATTTTCAATTCAATTCTATTCATTTAAGTTATTTCCACGTATTAACAAGCAGTACTGACTGTAGCCTATACTTTGAGTAACGGTACCCCTAGATCTATGAAGATTGGCCAGCAATGGTACAAATACCCAGCCTCCCTGTGGCAGCAAACCTAGGTAGGCCTACTCTGGTACTGTAGTATAGGTACCGATACTACAGCTTACATCATTTACAAATTTGCCAAGAATTAATATTGCAGATTTCCTTATTTTCATATTACAACAATTCGAAAAAAATGCATTGGATCAAATTTGTACAATAAGCTAATATCTATTCTTTTTTGTTAAACTTAAACTTTATAGTTAAACTAGGGAGTTACTAGCATATAAACAATAGTATTAAATGGGCGACAGAGACTCGTATGATGAAGTATTGTATTGATCATTAAAAGTTTACTTGACTTGTTATGTAGCTTTGACTAAGTATAGTAAATAACATTATTTACTATATAAATTATAATTAGCCTATCATAAATACCTACTTTGTTTGATCACCATTTCATTAAAGAGTATTAAAGTACATATTTAAAGTATAAAGTATTTGTTAAACCCGGAAATGGAAACTCCCTAAGCCTGTCAGGTTTGCTGAGGCGGGGGTGGGGGTATTTTTAAAACGTTTTTATTAGCTCGCTTTCTTGTCCGGTACAAATTTTGAAATCAATTGTATACTAACTTCCCGACAAGCTAGAGACTTGAAACTTGAAACGTAGCCTAGCTCACAAATGGAAGACAATGCAATATTATATCATTTAATTTTCATATTTCCCTTGGGCTACGCCTCATGGGCTTGTTTTTATTAAATCGCTTTCTTGCAAATTTTGATACTTCCCGATGAGCTAGAGACTTGAAATTTGAAACATAGCTCATAAATGGATGACAATACAATATTATATCATTTAATTTTCATATTTCCCTTGGCTTAAGGGCTTGTTTTTATTAGCTCGCTTTCCTACAAGTTTTAATATCAATTTTAAACGAAGTTTCCGATGAGCTAGAGACTTGAAACTTGAAACATAGCTCACAAATGGATGACAATGCAATATTATATAATTTAATTTTCATATTTCCCTTGGGCTACGCCCCTTTGGCTTCAAAATTTTCCATGTTTACATTTTAAAAGAATGTAAACATATAAATTAATTTAAGTCAGCTGTAAATACTTAAATTTGACAGTTAGAAGAGCAGAGGTTAAAGGGTACAGGTTCTGCTCCCGAGATATTCTAAAAATATAAAACAATCATTTCAAATTAAAGATAAAACATCTGATTACAGATAATAAGGTTTTGGGTTTTGGTTATGCATTAAGAGGCTATATAAAATAGATTTAACATATTTACAAATTAAAGACTAAAAACTAGATACTAATTTATAAATAAAAATACTTTTTAAAAATAAAACGTTTTTAAACGCACTAAAAAGTATAAAATAATGTATAAAATGTTGAGAGAATAAATACTTGTAAGATTTAAAACGAAAACCGTGGGGCGCATGCAATAGATCATAATAGTTCAATAGGTGAAGTTAATTGTAAATCAGCGTGCGCCCCACGTTTTTAGTTTTAAATCTTACAAGTATTTATTCTCTCAACATTTTATACATTATTTTATACTTTTTAGTGTGTTTAAAAACGTGTTATTTTTAAAAAGTATTTTTATTTATAAATTATTTAGCTTACATATCAGCCCTTAAAAAAATTAAATAAAAGATTGCCACAATTGAACTCTTTTCTTGTATTTAACCAGGAATGGTAATTAGCCTAATTGACTTTTAACAGACTATATTATATTAATTTTTGAAAAATCCCATATTATAGTGGCATTAAAATACCTATATTGCAATTTTAGCATTACTGAAAATATAAAAAATATAGATGTAGGCTAGCTGGTTTTGATTTATTTAAAATATGAAATTATTTCTAACAGACCTTTGTACGTAGGTATATGAAAAAGACGATTTTTACCAACTTCTTGTAGGCTAATATGATTATTATTGGTTAGCTTATAACAATATTCCCTGTAAAGTAGTCTTAGGTTTTCTTAGGCCTAGTTGTAAAGTTGTTGTAACATCAAAAATATTAGTGTAAATATATCATTGAATACAAACTCCATTCAACTGTATTGTCCACTTACATTGTGAACAATACGTTGCATCATAGTCTTACAAATTCCTGATATTTCAGGAGAGGCGTTTGAGGTGCCTGAGGGATATCAGGGCAGCGGGACACCAGATGTTGTTCAGCTGAGGCACCCCCAAACTGGCGCTCCAGCCATGTTCTTGTTCAGCCCCGGTGACAACTTGATCCAGGAAAAAGTTTTGACATTTTCGGAAAATAAAAGGTAACAAATTTTGAATCTGAAGGGGCTTGGTTCTAAGGCCTAACAGTAACTTTTTCATCAATATATCAAGCATATGTTTTACAAAAATCCCACTAGATTTAACGTTTTGCACCAATGTTGTCATGAGTTGTACCTTGTACCATAACCTGTAAGTTGACAGCTTTCATAGTTTTTTAAACCTTAAGTGTCTCTCACCATAGGTCAGTACCACCCAAATAATTTCTGTGGTGGTATAAAGTCAGTAAAGTAGTAATACGGAAGAAGTACTCAAACCAGAAATATGTGTGATATTAAATTAAATTTTAGTGTAAAAGATGTTAAAGCATGTAACTTTACTTTAAATCATACTAAACAGAAACAGGTACTGTACTTTTCCATCCGTATTGATTGGCTGGAAAGTTGCCCTTTGCCGTGCCTACACACGGAAAAGTAACGTAAAGTACTTTAATCATGCACTGCACGGTCAAAGCTTTTTACCGTGCACTTAGTCAGCTGATAAAATAAACAGCTGATTGCAACCGCCTATTTTATTTTCTGAGATATAAAAATATTATAATTTATGTTAAGTCCTAAATAAATTGTGTTATGCGTTTAAATTGTACTAATTTTTCTGTGTAGTATGATGTGAAGTATCGTACGTTACTCCCCCGGTAAGCTTTACTGTACTTGCATGAAAATCCGCACTCGGCTGTCGTGCTCGCACTGTAAAACACCACTTACCGGGCTAGTAACATAATATACTATTAAAAACAAATACCACATTGTTTTTATGTCTCAATTTTATTATTTTAGTAATGACATTGATTGAAATTCCACATGTTGAACAACTGTTTAGTTACATAACCATAAATAGGTGAACCCGGACTTGTTTATGGATATGTTAAGCATGGAGGGTTATCTTACATTGTTTGAAATAGCCAAAGTTTGCTAATAAATCTGGATATCTCCCTGATACAGTAATTCATACATATTGCCTACTATATGCACTCTCTTTATCCTTTCAGATCATGGTTCATTGAGGATTCTGTAAAATCTGACGGAAAGATGCATCTCTCTACTCCTGTGGATCCAATATTTTTGGTTCTACCATATTTGAGAAAAGTAAGTATAAGAAAGACTACTTATAAACACATTTTATGTGTTAATTCCCTGATTAACCATGATATATTTGCAAGAAATTTTAAAGTATAAATTCATTACAAAAAAACCAAGATAAACAGACATTTCATTCCTATGATCAGCTGATTGATCTTGAGGATATTATCTAGGAATGCAAACATACACCTCACCTCCTTGTTGAGTTAAGCTCCTTCCTTAGGTCGTAAATGTAAATGCTTTACTCTTAGCTACCACCCGCTTCCACTTGCCAAACGTTCATTTTCAGTCTTCTGATGATTCTTCTACTTTTTCCTCCGAGTTTTCCGGTGCCTCAGCACATACCAATTGATTGATTGGTTCTTCAGGTGCGGACCTTGTCCTGTTGCACGTCAGCCACTAATAGGCTTTTTGCGCTCCCCACTTGATATGTCAGAGCCCGTCAAACCTGAGTTGCTTAATGAACTTCAGCATCCTATCTATGAGCTCCTCCTGAGGAAGGTGTCGTCCCCTTGTCGTTGCTCCAAGAGTACTATCCCTTACCTTGTTCAGAGCTGTGCAGCCATAGAGTAGATGGTCTGCAGTATCCTCTGACTGCCTACATTTCCTATGTGCAGTGTCTCCATTGTGGATCGTCAAGCGATGCTGGTGCAATTCCAGGAAGCCATGGCCAGTGACCATACCTGTGTTATTTGTTTGTTTATAATCACAGATTAAAAGTTTTGAGTTTATAAATATTTAAATCCTATAACTAAAAGTTTCTCTTATTAAAATAACTTAGGCATTAAAATTTTAACTTTTTCAGTCCCAACATGCCTGTCCTCTGGATCAGATTCTGAAGGATGACGACTTTCCAGAAGCAGAAAGACTTCTCTCTTGTTCAGGACTGAAACATTTGTCACAAGTCGCTGACAAAAAAGGTAACAAACATTTCATAGGCTATACCTTTTGTTTAGCTTTAAGATACATACATTAGGATATTCTTAATAACTTTATTGACACACTGTAGTTAACAAAATATTTTTAAATTAAGGTCCTATTTCGTTTTTGAACTACTGCTGTCTCACTTTTTTCCTACTGTTGTATTAATTGAGTCTTTGGCAAGAAGCTACAAACTATGGTAGTTCAATAATCACAAGTGCAAAGGTTTATAAAGGTTGTGTGTTTATGGTGTAATGTCATTGTTTGTCAAGGAAACAGTCCAATCTCTCGTCTTGTTACTTCAAACATCAACTTTTTTTAGATAGTATAGCCTAAATATTGCATGGCCTAATGACTAATTGCATCTGGGTCAATGGCTTTCATCTTTTGAATGATATAATTATCACTGTTTTATTTTTTCAGGTGATGAGGATCTCAACGCTTACAAGTACAACGAGGAGAAGACACTGACATGGTTGGCGAGGAAGACTGAGCGAGTGTGTGAAGTCTTGAAGCAGAAAGGGATCCACGTGTCAAGCAACAACGCAGTCTCCGCAACCTTCGTCAAGTCTAATCAGGACTCTGCAGGTCAGCAACTAATCACTTGAAAGGGTTATTTTATCATTCAACATCTTAATCCTAGACATAACATCCCATATCTCGTACACTAATGTAAAAATCCCTTTCATCTTACTGCTTTTTCAATTAATAACCGTGTTGTTGCAGAGAGCTACCTGAGA